TTATATTACTGAATTTTCTCAGATTGTTCATTTATTGGTGTGTGTGTATGTATAGTATATGTATTATATATATATATATAAATGTGTGTGTGTATATATATACATATATGCAGGTATATATATATATAAATATATATATTTTTAGATATATATATATATATATCAAATATATATATATATATATATATATATACATATATATACATGTATATAATTGCGTCATGTTTTTCTATTTTTAGAAATTGCGTCATTTTTTCTATTCTTAGAAATTGCGTAATTGTTGCTATTTTTAGAAATTGCGTCATTTTTTTTTCTATTTTTAGAAATTGCGTCATTTTTTTTTCTATTTTTAGAAATTGCGTCATTGTTTCTATTTTAAGAAATTGCGTCATTTTTTCTATTTTTAGAAATTGCGTCATGTTTTTCTATTGCGTCATTTTTTTTCTATTTTTAGAAATTGCATCATTGTTGCTATTTTTAGAATTTGCGTCATTTTATCTATTTTTAGAAATTGCGTCATTCTTGCTATTTTTAGAAATTGCGTCATTTTTTCTATTTTTAGAAATTGCGTCATGTTTTTCTATTGCGTCATTTTTTTTCTATTTTTAGAAATTGCGTCATTGTTGCTATTTTTAGAATTTGCGTCATTTTTTTTCTATTTTTAGAAATTGCGTCATTGTTGCTATTTTTAGAATTTGCGTCATTTTATCTATTTTTAGAAATTGCGTCATTCTTGCTATTTTTAGAAATTGCGTCATTTTTACTATTTTTAGAAATTGTGTCATTTTTGTTCTATTTTTAGAAATTGCGTCATTGTTTCTATTTTTAGAAATTGCATCATTTTTTCTATTTTTAGAAATTACGTCATGTTTTTCTATTTTTAGAAATTGCGTCATTTTTTCTATTTTTAGAAATTGCGTCATTGTTGCTATTTTTAGTAATTGCATCATTTTTTTCTATTTTTAGAAATTGCGTCATTGTTTCTTTTTTTAGAAATTGCGTCATTTTTTTAGCTCACCTGTCACAAAGTGACAGGGTGAGCTTTTGTGATCGCTTTTCGTCCGGCGTCCGTCCGTCCGTCGTCCGTCCGTCGTCCTTCCGTCCGTCCGTAAACTTTTGCTTTAAATGACATCTCCTCATAAACCACTGAGCCAATTTCATCCAAACTTCACAGGAATGTTCCTTTGGTGGTCACCTTTAAAAATTGTTCAAAGAATTTAATTCCATGCAGAACTCTGGTTGCCATGGCAACCGAAAGAAAAATCTTTAAATATCTTCTTTTAAACAACCCTAAGAGCTAGAGCTTAGATATTTGGCATGAAACATCTTCTAATGAGTGTCTACCAAGTTTGTTCAAATAAAAGCCCTGGGGTCAAAATTGGCCCCGCCCCAGGGGGTCATTGATTTTCCCTATATGCATATAGTAAAAACTTAAAAAAGCTTCTTTTAAAGAACCGTAAGAGCTACAGCTAAGATATTTGGCATGAAACATCTTCTAGTGAGTGTCTACCAAGTTTGTTCAAATAAAAGCCCTGGGGTCAAAATTGGCCCCGCCCCAGGGGGTCATTGATTTTCCCTATATGCATATAGTAAAAACTTAAAAAATCTTCGTTTAAAGAACCGTAAGAGCTAGAGCTAAGATATTTGGCATGAAACATCTTCTAGTGAGTGTCTACCAAGTTTGTTCAAATAAAAGCCCTGAGGTCAAAATTGGCCCCGCCCCGGGGGGTCATTGATTTCCCTATATGCATATAGTAAAAACTTAAAAAATCTTCTTTTAAAGAACCGTAAGAGCTAGAGCTAAGATATTTAGCATGAAACATCTTCTAGTGAGTGTCTACCAAGTTTGTTCAAATTAAAGCCCTGGGGTCAAAATTGGCCCCGCCCCGGGGGGTCATTGATTTTCCCTATATGCATATAGTAAAAACTTAAAAAATCTTCTTTTAAAGAACTGTAAGAGCTAGAGCTTAGATATTTGGCATGAAACATCTTCTAGTGAATGTCTACCAAGTTTGTTCAAATAAAAGCCCTGGGGTCAAAATTGGCCCCGCCCCAGGGGGTCATTGATTTTCCCTATATGCATAAAGTAAAAACTTAAAAAATCTTCTTTTAAAGAACCCAAAGAGCTAGAGCTAAGATATTTGGCATGAAACATCTTCTAGTGAGTGTCTACCAAGTTTGTTCAAATAAAAGCCCTGGGGTCAAAATTGGCCCCGCCCCGGGGGGTCATTGATTTTCCCTATATGCATAAAGTAAAAACTTAAAAAATCTTCTTTTAAAGAACCCAAAGAGCTAGAGCTAAGATATTTGGCATGAAACATCTTCTAGTGAGTGTCTACCAAGTTTGTTCAAATAAAAGCCCTGGGGTCAAAATTGGCCCCGCCCCGGGGGGTCATTGATTTTCCCTATATGCATATAGTAAAAACTTAAAAAATCTTCTTTTAAAGAACCGTAAGAGCTAGAGCTTAGATATTTGACATGAAACATCTTCTAGTGAATGTCTACCAAGTTTAAAAAGCCCTGTGGTCAAAATTGGCCCTGCCCCAGGGGGTCATTGATTTTCCCTATATGCATATAGTAAAAACTTAAAAAATCTTCTTTTAAAGAACCCAAAGAGCTAGAGCTAAGATATTTAGCATAAGACATGTTCTAATGGGTGTCTACCAAGTATGTTCAAATAAAAGCCCTGGGGTCAAAACTGGCCCCGCCCGGGGGTCATTGATTTTCCTTATATGTGTATAGCAAAAACTTAAAAATCTTCTTTGAAAAAACCCAAATAGCTAAAGTTTAGATATTAAGCATGAAACATTTTTAAGTAAATATCTACAAAGTTTGTTCAAATAAAAGCCTGGGGGGTCAAAACTGGCCCTGCCCGAGGGGTGTCATTGTTTTTAACTATATGTGTATAGTAAAAACTTAAAAAATCTTCTTTTAAAAAACCCAATGAGCTAGAACTTAGATGTTTTGCATGAAACATCTTCTTATGGGTGTCTACCATGTCTGTTTAAATAAACAAATAAAAGCCCTTGGGTAAAGATTGGCCCCGGGTGGGGGGGGGCTATATACAGGTGAGCGACCTCAGGGCCATCATGGCCCTCTTGTTTATATTTTTAGAAATTGCGTCATTGCTGCTATTTTTAGTAATTGCGTCATTTTTTTCTATTTTTAGAAATTGCGTAATTGTTGCTATTTTTAGAAATTGCGTCATTTTTTTTTTCTATTTTTAGAAATTGCGTCATTTTTTCTATTTTTAGAAATTGCGTCATTTTTTTTATATTTTTAGAAATTGCGTCATTGTTTCTATTTTTAGAAATTGCGTCATTTTTTTCTATTTCTAGAAATTGCGTCATTTTTTCTATTTTTAGAAATTGCGTCATTTTTTCTATTTTTAGAAATTGCGTCATTGTTGCTATTTTTAGAAATTGCGTACTGTTGCTATTTTTAGAAATATGCTTAATGTTTCTATTCATATATATACAAAATATATAAACAAAACTAATGTGACAAGACAGACCAACTAAATTTATAAAAAGGAAACATCAATATATGTTCAAACCTTTCTATGTTTGCGTTTAGAAAAAGTAAAAAGTCGAGCGTTGCCCCCGCCCGGCGGTGGCTCTTGTTCTATTTCTCTTAACGGTGACCTTGACCCCAGGGGGTCCAAATGCGATACCAACCCAGGTCTTCATATAAGCTTGCTATACACCAAGTTTGATTACAGTATCTCATTCCTAAGTCAAGTTATTGTCCCAAAACCATTTTTCTATTTTTAGTAACGCTGACCTTGACCTTGATCTCAGGGGGCCCAAATGCAACACCAACCCAGGTCTTCATATAAGCTTGCTATCCACCAAGTTTGATTATAGTACCTCATTCCTAAGTCAAGTTATTGTCCGGAAACCATTTTTCTATTTTTAGTAACAGTTACCTTGACCTTGACCCCAGGGGGCCCAAATGCACTACCAACCCAGGTCTTTATATAAGCTTGCTATAGGCCAAGTTTGATAACAATATCTCATTCCTAACTCTAGTTATTGTCCAGAAACCCTTTTTCTTTTTTAGCAACGGTGACCTTGACCCCAGGGGGTCCAAATGCAATACCAACCAGAGTTTCCACATAAGGTTGCTATATAACAAGTTTGATTACAATACCTCAATCCAAACTCTAGTTATCGTCCGGAAACCATGATGTGGACCGACTGACGGACCAACCGACAAGCTGACCCCTAAACTTCGTTTGTGGGGGTATAAAAAAAATTCAAGGATAGCCGAAACTTGTTAATTATAAAAAAATATATATACAGAATGTTATGTTGTAGTAGCTTTCTGAGGGTTTGTATTTTGCTACGAGCAGCGGTGGAAAATTGATATCTTGCGAGACCAAAGGTCGAGCGAGATATCAATTTTCCAACATTTCAAGTAGAAAAATGCATAGCCTCAGAAAGCTACTACAACATAATTATCCTTTTATTATATACCTTTTCGTTTGAAGTATAAATGATTTTCATTATACTACACTTGTATAAGAAATTTCAGTAAAAGAAATGTAGCTGTTAAGAAAATAAATTTATGACTGACAGATGAATACGTAATTTGTGCAAAACCCACCACAGCTTTTATTATTTTGGTACTATGTTATACACAGCTAAGATCAGAACCAACGTCAAAAATAGTCCAGCCCTTCCATATATGGTACTGTATTTGTCTCTAACATAATACAGAATTTTCTAACCGTTGAAGCCTATTTGTGCTTCAAGATTATCCTGTGATTTAGGAAGAAAAATTTATAGGTATATCATTGACATTTCTTATGTTTATATTTATTATATGTAGTTCTTGCAATCCTATTTATAGCTACAAATTCTATGAATTAAAATAGAAAATGAAGGTAGCATGCAGACGGTGTTGATATTGTGTGATAAAAATTTAAAGATCATTGGAAATCATCCGAGTAACCGAAAAATGACCGAGTACACTAGTATTGATTTTAGTTTATTTCATGCTTTCCAGTGTTTTATTGTAATATATCAGATGATTATATTTTGATAAACCACTAGTGAAATTTATAAAATATAATTTTCACTGTAGCCGGACTATATCTGAATGTGGATGAAAAGAAAATCAAATCTGAATGGAATAACAGGCAAAAATAAATGCTGTCATGTCTAAATTTTGCTTCTTTTGGAAAAGAAAGTCGATGTCACCATACATAAAGTTAAAAATGTAACAAAATTAGAGAAATTTAACAGAACTATATTTCAAACTTTTTGATGTGACGTCATGATGTGATGACGTCACAAAGGAGAATGCGCTACGTTACGAGGCAAAATCAGTAAAAATTACTTAAAATCACTTAAAAAGCATGACATAAAAAGAAAATTTATTTGTTTTACATATTAGATTGAAATGTATTTCATTCGTGAACACCAGCTTTTATATTTTCACTCGTGGCTACGCCACTCGTGAAAAAATTGCATCTGGTGTTCACTCAGTGAAATTATATTTCAATCTTACATGCAAAACAAACAAATATCCTCTATATTTGTTGCCATCCCTAAAAAAATAAAAGTACTTGACAAGATCAACTAACATCTTAATAAAAAACTTTGAAAACAGAATTAATTATTTTGAAAAATTCACTCTGAGCTGTATTATTTAAAATGGGTGTTCAAACACATTGAAAACATTGATAAGTCATCTCATGTTCTTGGTGATAAAGTGGTGCCTCAATATAGTTATCACTGCAATCTATCTTCCCTCATAACTCCTACTATTACTGTATCTGTCAAACAAGCATCTCTGTTTTCTGAAATATAGTTTTGAAAAAGTTTATTGCTGACCAAGATATTCCATACTTGTATGTTAACCTTTTTTCAGCATTTTTTTGTTAGAATTACTCTGATTTGTAAAGGTATATAACCGAAAAATGCGCGACCAATGCCAGAGCTCAACCCCTCTGTGCATTATTTCACAAACGAGCATCTGAGTAGAACCACCGCCTTTTTTTAAAGCTAGCTGGATTGCTTTCTCACATTAAAGAATCCATATTAAATATAATAGAACATTGATAATTGCTACACAGTCTCTTTGTAAACATAAAATAAGCATGTTTTGTGTTTACATAAAGTAGCTATGTAATGTTAAAACACAACACGCTATAGGTGGTCACAATATAAATATATAGTGTTGTTAGGAAACTGACAGTTTTTGTGTCGCCTCTACGGAGTAGTGGCGACATATAGGGATCACTTCTCCGTCGTCTGTCTGTCCGTCTGTCTGTCTGTCTGTCCGTCTGTCCGTCCGTCCGTCACAAAACTTGTCCGGACTACCCCTCATAAACTACTGGTGCAATTTCATCCAAACTTTACAGGAATGATCAGTATCAAGTCTAGTTGTGCATATTGTCAGCATTTTCCGGTTCAATGATTTTTGTCAGAGTTATGGCCCTTTAGAAATTTTTAATTTTAAAGTTTGTCCGGACTACTTCTCTTATACCACTGAAGCAATTTCAATGAAACTTTACAGGATTGATCTGTAGCTCAAGTCCTTGCGCATATTGCAAGGGTTTTCCGGTTGAATGATTTTTGGCCGAGTTATGGCCCTTTGATAAAAAGGTGTTTTTTTCTGTGTGTGGTTAGATACACAATAGCTTGTCCGGACTACTCCTCATAAACTACTGGTGCAATTTCATCCAAACTTTACAGGAATGATCAGTACCAAGTCTAGTTGTGCATAATTGTCAGCATTTTCCGGTTCAATGATTTTTGTCAGAGTTATGGCCCTTTAATAGTTTTTTTTTTTAAAGTTTGTCCGGACTAGTTCTCTTATACCACTTATGCAATTTTCAATGAAACTTTACAGGATTGATCTGTAGCTCAAGTCCTTGCGCATATTTGCACGGGTTTTCCGGTTTGAATGATTTTTGCTGAGTTATGGCCCTTTGATTAAAAGGTGTTTTTTTTCTGTGTGTTGCCAGATACACAATAGCTTGTCCGGACTACTCTCATAAGTACTTTGGTGCAAATTTTATCCAAACTTTACATGATTGATCAGTACCAAGTCTAGTTGTGCACTGTCCGTCTGTCTATCCGTCTGTTACAAAATTTGTCCTAACATGAAATTGGCCATTATGAGGCGACACATGTGATTACTGATCGCTCTTGTTTTAAGAAAGGACCAAATTTTTTTTTGTCCCGTAAGAAGGAACATGGCTTCCAATGCATAGTCAATTCATTATTTCATTCAAATTAGACATATTCAAAAAGAATTGCATAGAATTCAATAAATTTTCATGATTAAAATATTTTACTGATGAGCCTAGTATATCTTTAAAGGTACATTACTTTGACTATGGACACCCCAATTAAATCTATTTATTTGCTTAGTAACACAACTTTTCAAAGTCATATAAATTTGTAAATGTGAGTGATTCTGATAATCTATAGACAGCTAAGTCAAGATGAGATGATTAGATTTTACAGACTGCTTACTACATGAAGTCACTATTTCAATGTCAAATGCCTTGAGGTGAAAGGAATGAAAACTTGAATTTCAAAATACAATTTAAGTGAATTACATGTCACAAATGAGCCGTGTCATGACAAAACCAACATAATGGGTTTGCGACCAGCATGGATCTAGACCAGCTTGCGCATCCGCACAGTCTGATCAGGATCCATGCTGTTCACTTACAAACCCTATTACAAGTAGAGAAACTGATAGCAAACAGCATGGATCCTGATCAGACTGTGCAGATGCATAGATCCATGCTGGTCGCAAACCAATTATGTTGGTTTTGTCATGACACGGCTCAAATGTTTTTGCTATCGACTTTTGTTCCTTAATTAACAACAGATTGCATAATGAAATGATATAGAGGATATTTGTTTGTTTTGCATGTAAGATTGAAATATAATTTCACTGAGTGAACACCAGATGCAATATTTTCACGAGTGGCGTAGCCACGAGTGAACATATAATAGCTGGTGTTCACGAATGAAATATATTTCAATCTTATATGTAAAACAAATAAATTTTCTTTTTATTTCATGCTTTTTAAGTGATTTTTTACTGATTTTGCAGCGTAACGTCGCGCATTCTCCTTTTTGACGTCATCACATCATGACGTCACATCATCAATTTTGAAAAATAGTTCTGTTAAATTTCTCTAACTTTGTTACATTTTTAACATGATGTATGGTGACATCGACTTTTTTTCCCTAAAGAAGCAAAATTTACGCATGACGGCATTTATTTCTGCCTGCTATTCCATTTAGTTATGATTTTCTTTTCATCCGCATTCAGATATAGTTCGGCTACAGTGAAAATTATATTTTATAAATTTCACTAGTGGTTTATCAGAATATAATCATCTGATATATTACAATAAAACACTGGAAAGCATTAAATAAATTGAAATAATTAATATACATTTGGCTCTTAGTGCCAAGCTTACTGATTTTAAATAAGCCTTGAGTCCTGTGTTGGCCTTTAAACATGCCAAACATTTAGAAAGTATTTATTAAGGAAAAGAGTATACAAATAATCATGTACCTCTTCATTATATGCCCATGACATTGAAAAAACATTGTGTCATCTGTTTACTTCAAGGTTAAGGTCACATTGACAGTATCACATTTTAGACTTTATCTCTCTGGATTCCATTCATAAAAGCATTCTCAAAATGGGTCCTCTTAATTTCACATTCATCAATCTGACAAGAACCTCCTGAAAAAAGAAAAGTTAGAAACATATGCCACTAATTATGTCAGTTAATGTCAAATAAATACTTTGAGAAACTATTTGGTCAGTTTGAAATGTACAAAGATTTTCAAACCAAATATATATATATAAACAATGAACATTTCCTTTTTAACTTTCTAACATATATAATGTATAGTCTTACTTGAAGAAAATGTTTGCCCGGAACTGAACACTACCAATTTACCATCTTTTTGGTACCACTGAAAATAGATAGTAAAGGCCTTAATCTTTTTATTCTAAAATAACAGTTAAATAACATGTTAAGAAATTATGACTAATAAGCATGTTAAAAAAGTGAGAAGAGGCATTTTTTTTAGTCATTCCAAACAGAACTTAAGTAGAAATGACTGACCAATACAGTTAGTTCAGATGTTCTATTGAGCAAATGTTATTTACATAATTTATGGAAATTACAATTCGTAACTAATTATGAATTCAATATTCATCACTTAGTTTGAAATAATTTAAGCTAAAGACTTTTACATAAAAGTAAGAAATATTACATACTTAACAGTTAACGATGAAAATACAAGCATATTGCAAATAAAATTATATGTCGTGCTTTGAGGGTACCTATGTGTTAAAAAATGATAGTGTACCTGTTATATGAAAATTCAAATGAAGAGAGGTAGCACATGCCGCTGTAAAACCGAAAGTAGGGTGTTTTTATGAATTTTACATTTATTTTTGACAATATATACTGCCATTTGTCCGAAGATGATATGTAAATGAACATATTTAATATGTATAATGCATATATAATCAAGTCACAGGTTTGTTGCAGTTCGAAAAGTATGTCGAGGTGATGGACAAGGCAAGACATGTCGATTTTTTGTAGCTTATTATGAAGTTGCAGCACATGAAAAACAGGCACATGACAAATCAGCACATAAATAAAACTATCTAGTGTTCCGTGGTTTACATGTTTTCTAAGTGTCATACCTCTTTTCCTTATTACAATGAAATTTTACATGATTGTTATCCATCGCTGGTTTGTTTTAAAAAGCAGTGAATGACCTCTGCATGTGCAAATAGGGTACCGTTTCAGCAGATTTCGCAAAGAGGGTACCGATACGGATTATGCACCGTGAATCCAGTTCATTCTTTGAGAAAATGTTATACTAAGACATCATTACTGAACTTGTATATTTTTTATTTAAGGTGATTCCGCTTTGTCAGCAAAGTTTGTTTTCACAAAGTCTGTCCAAAGTGAAAGTAGGCCAAAATTCATATCACAACAAAGCTCACATTGTTATATGATGAGCCATTTGCAAGTACACTTCCAGTTCTATGTTTTAAAGACTATTTTAAACAAAAAACAATAAGAAAATTTACCTTGAATGGGCTAAATTTCTGAAGACCAAAAACATTCTGTTGCAAAGTTTTATGCACGTTTCATGAATGGCAAAATCCTTTTGTTTGTCTGTTTTAAAAAGTCTGTTTTAGTGCCTACAAAAGCTGTTTTTGTTCCAGAAATTTAGCCCATTCAAGGTAAATTTTCGTATTGTGTTACCGGGCTTTGTCATTTATATTTTTGTTTAAAATAGCCTTTAAAACATAGAAATGGAACTATCATATTGTTACGTATTTTGAACCATAAAAAAAATCTCCTCTACACCTCCTGTGAAAATTAAATTGTCTGGTCAATACTTTATTATATATATATTTCACTATGATTCAACTAGATTTATCATAAATCTAAAGATGTGGGGAAATGACATCATGCACACCTGTTTTTATACGGCCAATACACAAACATGGCCATGCCTACTGATTTGTAGAAATCAGTGATTTAGCGATTTAAATTTGGTTATCATTCGTTTAATATTATTATTTGGCGGCAGAAAATTTACAGATTTATTATTTATAGTATTCTTTTTCTGAAATCATGTTTTTATTCTAACCTTGTCTTTCCCTTTAAAGTTTCACAATAAATTTTCCAAAAAAGTTCTGAATAGCTGGGGTAGTTGAATTCTTAAATCTCATTATCTACATAATTATCAAAACTCCTTTATATATTTTTATATATAAGTGTAAGTTGATTTATTTGAAACAAAATCACAACTTAAGCCTCCAATCTTTCAAAAGAAAATGACCATGCTGGAAACAATTTTCAGGGTGTGATATTTGCTCTGGATTTTAAACTGCTGTCGGTCAATCTGTGGTAACTTCTCTATTTTCATCTGCCCGATAGCCCAGTTTAACATAAAGTATTTTGAAATGCTGTACAAAGTTCCACTTGAAGGTTATTTGTTTATATAAACTGAAAGCTGACCTTAGACATGTGAGATTCTATACAGATTGTGAGATGGTGGATAAAAACTAAAAATGAACATTACTTATTGCTGACCAAATTATGCATGAAATAAAAAAAGTTAAATATTGATACAATCAATTAAAAAAACAATTATCAATTTCATAGATAAAAATAAATCATGTTGATCTAAATAATCTCAAATTAATCTACATATTAATTTTTTTAAAAAATCAGTAACTGAAAAGAATTTTTAGCTCAACTATTCGCAGAATAATCGAGCTAATGCAGTCACCCATTTGTTGGCGTCGGCATCCCTGTGGTTAAGTTTTTGTATGTAAGCTGGTATCTCCATAACTACTGAAGGGAATGGATTGAAACTTCACACACTTGTTCTCTGTGATTTTCTAAGATGATTGGCACAAGTGCCATAACTCTGATTTGCTTTTTTTCATAATTATGCCCCTTTTTCGACTTAGAAATTCTTGGTTAAGTTTTTGCGTGTAAGCTGGTATCTCCATAATTACTGAAGGGAATGGATTGAAACTTCACACACTTGTTGTCTGTGATTATCTAAGATGATTGGCACAAGTCCTATAACTATGTTTTGCTTTTTACATAATTATGCCCCTTTTTTGACTTAGAAATTCTTGGTTAAGTTTTTGCGTGTAAGCTGGTATCTCCATAACTACTGAAGGGAATGGATTGAAACTTCACACACTTGTTCTCTGTGAGTATCTAAGATAATTGGCACAAGTGCCATAACTCTGATTTGCTTTTTTACATAATTATGCCCCTTTTTCGACTTAGAAATTCTTGGTTAAGTTTTTGCGTGTAAGCTGGTAATTCTCCATAACTACTGAAGGGAATGGATTGAAACTTCACACTCTTGTTGTCTGTGATTATCTAAGATGATTGGCACAAGTCCCATAACTCTGATTTACTTTTTTGCATAATTATGCCCCTTTTTCAATTCATAAATTCTTGGTTAAGTTTTTGTGTGTAAGCTTGTATCTCCATAACTACTGAAGGGAATGTATTGAAACTTGAAGGGTTTGTACCTTTTCAGACAATTTTATGTATTCATAAAGGTAAGCATTATTATACTCAATGAAACACCCTTGTGACAAATTTTTGAATAGTCGAGCATTACTGTCCTCCGACAGTTCTTGTTGTTAAATGGAGTTTACCATAAATCAAGTGATACTGTCTAGAACTAGACATTGTAAAATATTTTTCTTCTGAATTTAAAATTTAATTTTGTCTGAACAGCAATGTAAACTGTATAATTAGTGTATTGCAATATTCATTTCTAATAACTCTAAGTCAGAAAAATCAGGCTGGAAATGAAGAACTTTAAAGACTGTATTGAAACTGCATGGTTCTTGAAAATTTTCTTCAACTTTGAAATATCTGGGTAGATTTTGCTTATATTTCTCAAAGTCAGTAAAATCTGTGTAAAAATATTTTCAAAGTGCAAATATTCCTGCCTCCACCTTGACTTTTACCAAAATGAAGATGGTGTCAGGGTAGAAAATACTTGAATTCCCATGTGAGATTTATTGAAAATTCAGGGTCCATGTCTATTTCACCCTGATTTTGCCAATTCTGGTTCAAAACAGGCCTGAATCGGTCCCGTTTTTTATAAAAGCCATGCTGATTTTTAGTACAGGCAGACAGACCTTGACCATAACTCATTAATGACCTTGACTGAAGTTCAAATTATTGAAATTTTCATTGTTCTGGCTGTAACTTTGCTAGGGATCAACTTCATATTATAAAAGAACATACTTAAGGGTTTATCAAACACTTGGGCTCTTGACTCCGCCACATGACTCCACCAGGTGACTCTACCACGTGACTCCACCACGTGACACCATGTGTCAACCACGTGACACCACCACGTGACTCCACTACATGTATCTATTTATAGAATTTTCTATTTATAGAATTGCGTTTTTCTTTTTATAGAATTGCGTGTTTCTATTTATAGAACTTTCTATTTATAGAATTGCGTGTTTCTATTTAAAATATATAGACAAAACTAATGTGACAAGACAGACTGATTAATTTTATAAAAAGGAAACGTTAAGATTTTGTTCAAACATTTCTTTGTTTGCTTTTAGTGAAAGTAAAAAGTTGAGCGTTGCCCCCGCTCGGCGGTGGCTCTTGTTGTGCTTGAGTTGTAAACATATTGTGACATATGATGTGGTTGATGACCAGAAACTTATATTTAAAGTTTGAAGAAATAAAGAACTTAATATAGTGAAAAAGCATGAAAACTAGAACCAAAAATCTTGAAATTCAGTCTATTTGTTGCCATAGCAACCAGAATTTTCAACTTAGGAAAACAAAAAAAGATGTGCAAAATCTCCAGACTGCCATCTACCTATATTTCAAGTTTCATAAAAACATTTTCAGTACCTTTTACATTATTACTGGATCCAATTTATGTGTTAAATTTGCCATATTTTCTATCTATTTGTTGCCATAGCAACCAAAATTTTCAACATAGCAAGAAAAGAAAAAGACATGCATCATCTCCATACTGCCATTTATCCATAAATAAAGTCATAAAAATATTTTCAGTACTTTTTGCGTCATTGCGGGATCCAGTTTTGTGGACTGACTGACAGACAGATGGACAGAGGGTAAACCGGGAGGGGCTTATAAGGTTGATTTCTTTATACTTGACCATTCAGTCAATGTTTTAAAAAACAAGTACAGTGATTAATAAACCTTAATACCGATGAGAAAGATGTAAGTTTATAAATACCTTGAAAATTCTAATATGTACTTAGTACATGTATTCTTTTTATGCCCCGCCATGTAATGGCTGGGGCATATAGTGTTACCCTGTTCCGTCCTTCCGTCATTCCGTCCTTCCCTCCTTCCGTCATTCCGTCATCATCAGTTTCCGTTCATTATCTTAGTAACGGTTGCACACA